CTAGGCCTGCTTTCTCTGGGTCTTCTGTGGCCAATTAGACCTCGTCAAAGGCTTTCTGAAAGTACAAGTACATCATACCCGCTGGATTGTCCTTGTCCACATGCTTGTTGATACCGTGAAAGAATTCTAATAGATTGGTGAGGCATCATGTCCCTTTACAAAAGCCATGTTGACTCTACCCCAACATATCGTGTTTAGCTATGTGTCTACTAATTCTGTTCTTTACTATAGTTTCAATCAATTTCCTTGGTAATGAAGTTAGGATTACCAGCCTGTAATTGCCAGAATTGCCTTTAGAGCCTTATTTAAAATTGGCATTACACTACCTATCCTCCAGTGATCTGGTACGATGGCTGATTTAAGAGATAGGTTACATACCACAGTTAGTCATGGGAGTCAGCTAACAGTATCCATGAAACAGCATCTCTCTCAGCTAACTGTTCAGTGCCTCATATGCCATCTACTGTGTTCTTGCTGGTCCATTCATCAGTAGAGCTCACTTTTATTTCACCTTATTGGACTGTGTATATCAAACCCCTACCCTACCAGTGGGCCTGATTTTGCCTGGCTTTGAGCACTTCTCTCATCTGCACCTACCACTGTACTGTCTTTCAAGTATTCTCAGGTCCCATGAAATCAATGACTAAGTCACCAGTGGACATAACATACAGTAGGGATTGGATGTAAGTGTGATCTACTGGAAGCTGATGGCACTCAGCAACACTTTGCAAGAGATGATCAAACCCTCATTTGCATGGCTGCAAGACTGAGTCATAAGGATCTGATCCTAAAAGTTGCTAAGCACCTCAGTGTCCAAAGGGAGCTCAACCCAAGATCAGGTTACAATCATGGCTCAGTGTTCTAGGTCACCACAAAACCTGTCAAATAATTGCCTTCTCTTCTCAGTTGCCGAAAATTTCCTTGTGTGCACCTCAGAAATCTACCATTTTGCTGGCACTTCTATGCTTTATAATTTGCCTTCCTTAGTGAAGTTCAACAGCTCCGTAGAGCAAGAGGTTGTGTGGGGATCTGGGGGAGCTGACAGTGGCCTAACAGGCTGTGGAATCTGTTAAAATCACATGGAGGTTTGCAATAGAAGGTACCTGAATAGCTGAGAGCCAAGATCCACTAAGCAGAGGGCAGTAGTCTACATGGAGAAAGATGGTCTGGAAAAGATGGGTCTATAGCTGGCTTGGAAAGGGACGGTCACCAAGGAAGCTCTGGAGACCAGTGAGGGGTTGGGGGCGGGAAATCTTTCATATTTTGAGTGGTTTTACAATCAAAGCCATATTGTTTTCCTCTTTACAAGGAAAGCTTTAATAGGTTATTTGCGAATACCATGGCTTTTTCAATATTAATAAAACTTCTATGATGAATTAGACAGGAATATGTAAATTGCTTTTCTATACATTTTGCATTGTCATCATTGTATTTTTAACTAATTCCTTTATGTCTTGATGCATTTACAGTCGATTCAGGCACTACTGAACCAGTCAGTGAAGGAATCAAAGTTTCCACAAACTGCCTGTTATACACCAACTTTTCTCAACATTTCTTAATCCACATTTTCTCAAGCCTGGAAGTAACTATTTCCTATTTTCTACCCTCATTCACTAGTGATGAGTATTCTCATTTTTTAAAAATGTTGTTTAGTTTGCTATTTGACTCCAAAATGAAACTGCACTACAAATGTACAATTGAGCCACAGGCTACTGTACTTCATGGTAACGCACTTTTAGGCTATGTACACACTCCAGCTTAAGTCGGTATAAGTTGTGTTGCTCAGAGGTGTGAACAAACCACGCCCCGAGCAACGGAAGTTACAGTGACCTAAGCGCTGGTATGGGCAGCGCTGTGTCAGAGGGTTCTCCCACCAACATAGCTACCGCCACTCACAGGGGCTGGAATACTTAAGTCAGCGGGAGAGCTCTCTCCCGTCGGCTTAGAGCAGCTGCACCATTGTAAGCTCTTCACCATAGCCAGCCGCAGCCTTACTCTGAACTACCCTGGAACACATACTTGCTTTCTCTCCCACGTCACCCGTTTTTAAAATATATACCTTTCTACACATGGACAGATCCAGAGTTATGGGATAGTCCTATAGAATTTAATAGGGATAACATCAATGGTATAGAAATGTAAATGTAAAAGATTACAGAATTTAATTAATAGAGAATGATAAGTTTTTCTGAACCATCCTATAAATTGTATAGCAGGGCTATAATTTTCTATTCAATTCTATAAGATGGTTGAAAAAGCCTAGAGAAAGATTACCATTTTCAATAGGACTTAGCCATAAGAGCAGGCTCAGCTAGACTGCATGGATAAAGATAGGTAGTCTCTGCGGCCCTCTCCTCCATTAAATATGAAGGTAGCTGTGGCTACACGTTCTAGAATGCTACAGATCATATTTAACCTGAAGATGCCTCTCCTTGGCTACCCTTGCTATAAAAGTCACTCTCTGACCAGTTGTAGACAGGAAATAATTGTTTTGGGGATTCCCAATGAAGTGACTAATCCTGCTATCACTGAGATCAGTTGCAGAACTCCCATCCATTTGAATGGGAATGGGATCAGGATTGCAGTACGTGGGTAGGCAATGCTCTGGCATAGAAAGGGGGGCCTCCATCTGATGCCTTTGAAGGGCTGAGTGGGATTACTGAACAATTTAGAACATCACTGGGACAGGTTAGGACATCTGAATCCACCAAGTTCATGTAGATCGTGTTACTGCCACAACTACCAATGCATATGAACATTCATATGGCTGATCTCTTTGTGATCTCTCTTCCCATTCTAGTTTTGCTTTTGCAACAACATACAAAATAGCTTCTTCATGACTGTATGGTGTATCTTAACATGTAAACAAATGTAAACAGTTAGGGATGGTATATCAGTGATATTATATCAAAAGGATATAATACTCAGGATTCCATTAATGCAAGTAATATAGATAATTTAAAGAACTTCTCAGTATTGTTTCAAAGAAATTCCCAGTAATTTTGGTATGTTGAAGTATTTAGCAGAGAGAAGAATTAACCAGAGAAGACCAGCAAGAAACAGGAGAAAAGGGATATTTCTGAGCCCAAATTACAATATAAAACTCAAACTTTTGTCACTGATTTCAGTGGGAGAACTGGGTCCATATAGTAATACACTGGGTCCATACTGTACATACAATATTGGTAAGTTATGAATTTGGGGGGGAAGGCTGGTTGGCATCTTTTAATATTGCTAAAATAAATTGGGCTTGGAATGCTTCTTTGAGTGGAAAATAACTACTTTCTAAAAAACAGGGACAATCCTTGGCATGTACAAAATCAGAGATATTCCCAAGAACTGGTGATGACTGAGAGTCAGGGGGACATGACTAAAGATGAATAAAGTGTTTGCCATTCAATGAAGAAAGTTAGACTTACACGAATGTGGTTTTGTGTAACCACTCTAAATCTGCCAGTATTCCATATGATTTTCAGAATGAAAGAAGAATTCTGAATGAGAGTTACCTGCTCAGATGTCCGTAGTAATGTTAGTTTTTCATTTCTTTTCATCATGGAAGCTGTAACTTGTATTTCTTGGGCTTTCCACACACCCCGTTTAAATGTAAAGTGGAATTAGGCAGCTTATTTGTTTAAATAACATGCTCTCAGGGTATTCACCTGGGAAACATGGCAATTTTTACTTGTAATTTTGGCAGTTACTTTGGCGACGGAAGTATTGAAACCTATGTTGAAAAGGGAGTGAGCAATTTGTACAGATCATGCCAGAGGGTGTGACTAAAGATATTTAAGTACTCCATCAGATAAAATTTGCATATTAATAAAATTATAAATAATCAGTAATAACTTATTTAGATGTGCTCAATTCTCAGATCCCAGGTTGAGTTTGCAGGGCTGGCAGTTTAAAATAAAGTATTCCTTCTCTGTAACATCACCACCTGTGATACAGCATTTGCAGATCAAATTAAGCCTTCCATGACACCTGCACAGCCCCAGTGCTTTTTATTAGCTGGTATAATTGATTGGAACTTGCTAAACAATTTCTGTGAATGAGACACAGGAAGGCATAGCATCCGGCTCACTCTCTCCAGGCTCTGTTAACAAGAGTAAAAAGCAGTAAAGCAGTAAAAAGCAGTATCTTTTTTCACCGAAGTGGCTCTGAATACAGGGAACACAGGGAACAGGTCAGTTGAGTAAGATGTTATTTTTACATAATCACTTTTCAGAAACCCTCACATGAAAATTAAAGTTTAGCTTTAAATTAGATGCTGGCTCTAGTGAAACTCCAACCACAAAGATAAAACTTCAGTAGGACACAATGATGTATTGGGAGAGGAGGGAAGAGAATCACAAGAGAAAAAAAAGGATATTTCCCTTTTGCAAAAAAATTAACCTCTTCACCTTCTGTATACTGACATTAAACAGACTTTTAAAAGATTCATCCAAGAATATTTATCCTCAAACTGCATACACTTGACTTCCTAGATACCAAATTAGTTAATGTAACCTAATATACCTAATATACATTTATGCATCTAGAAGCATTATTTGGGATACCTCCAGTTTCCATCTCTGCACAAGCATCTGCATAAATCTCAATCAAAAATTATGGGCTTGATGGAGGAATTGCTGGGTGATATTCTAAGGCCTATATTATGCGAGAGATCAGATTAGATTATCGTGGAGTCCCTTCTGGTTTTGTAATATGTACATACCAATATAACACCAAAGCTAAGGAAGAAAAATCTAAACAGCAGAATATATCATAAGAGACAATATTACTCTGTGTGTGTTCTAAGGCCATGAAACTCATTGGACCAGAACCACAGCTGCTGTAAATTGACCAGCTTCTGTGGAGTAGAGCATCACCCCATTGTGTTTATTGCAACAGTAAATCAAATGACATTTGGGAAATGTAAACGTATCTTAAATATGTCAGCAGGTTGTGCAGCCATCTCATCCTTTCAGCACTTGAATGTAATTAAATTACTAATATCGTACCTTCCGGAGAGGTTTGAGCTTGGTCTCCATTATAAAGTCATATTTGCAGAGTTCACAACAGCGCGTGTCTGAGCTTTTAATCCACTGGTGCAGGCAGGCCTGATGAACAAAGCGCAGGGTCCCTGTACAGCGACATGGTGTGATGAGAGGGCTTTCATCATCTCCCTCACAGTGACAGATCCTGACAGGGAGGACAGCAACAGATAGTAAGGGAGCCTTCCAAGGAGCAAAGCAAAAACACTGGTTTATTTACACTGCTTTTCATTCTCAGACTTGACATTCATAAGACTCAAGGTATATGACCTTCTAGATTAGAGCTCAGAAATGCATTCCTCATTCCTTTCTGACACTTTGAATTTGCTGTGTGATCTAGAGATGAATCAGTAGAAATTATACTCATCCCCCCTCCCTTTGTATGACAAAACCTTTAGGGCCTAGTTCTGTCACCCAAACTCATGCTGAGCAGTACCTCACTCTGTGTGTAGTCCCAGTGATATACTCTGCAAGAGTGACAGAATCAGACCCCAAGTTAAACAGGCAAAGTATGAAAGGTATAGAAAGCCTACCCTGATAATGGCCCAAGGGATAAGGGAGACAGACTTGTGGATATCTTTAGCGTTCATACACTCCCCTTGGGAGAGGTTGAGAGGGGACTGGAAGAGTCACAGCCCTGTCTGTTCTCCTTTCGTCTCTGCCCCTTTTGAGGTAGGTAGCTGCACTATCTGGAAGCACAAAGAATACAACAGCAGCCAGCCTGGCTATGTCTACACTGCTGCTGGGAGCGAGCTTCCTAGCCAAGACAGACGAATTCATGCTAGTGGAGCTTAAGCTAGCATGCTAAAAATAGCAGGATAGAAACTACAGCTCCAGCAGAGACTTGGATAGCTACCTGAGCTCACACTCAGAGCATTGAGTGAGCTTGAGAGTCCAAGCTGCTATTTTTAGCACACTACCTCAAGCACCACTAGCTTGAATCTGTCTACCCATGCTGGGAGGCTCCTTCCCAGCTGCACTGTAGATGTATCCCTTGAGGGTGTTGTGTGTGCACCCTGTGGGGGCTGGCCACAGTCTGATTTCTAGCTGGTAATGGGATAAAGAGCTTTTTTCACATTTGGATCTCTGTTTCAAATGTTTTGGAGTCAGTAGTGTCCTAAAGGTACTATTATTTGATGTCTTTTCTGTGGCCTACGTCAAATGACTTGGTGATCTCAGTCAGTTCTTAGTAAACATCTGTCCACATTAAAAACCGAACCAAAAACCACAATAATCAGAACTGGTACTTACTGACACCTTTGTTGACAGTGTCCCTAGAAAGGCTAAGAATTGTTCTGCAGGTGAACAGAGGACTTTGCTGTAGGGCTGTTCATTAAAAAGAAGTTTAATTTCAACAAACACTCACAAAAACTAAATGGATGTCCTAAATGGCAAACTGAAAAAAATAAGAAGCCACAAGCAATGCATCAAAACCCAAACCACATCAACCTCAAAATAGAGAAGTGGTAACCACGCACTTAGTCCTTCAGAGACATGTGAAGCTTGCAACAGGCAATTAAAATGTAGAAAAGGAACACTTTGTAACTCTTCTGCAAATTCTGTCGCTTGTATGAAAAAACCTAAAGAAAAACTCTTGCCGCAATATACAGACAACTGTGTCCAGTCTGTTCCCTATGAGGGCTGTCATGCTGTATATGTTTTATACTGGGGAAGCTGGGAAGGAGCATCATATCCATCAGGATACATGAGCACCTGACATGAATTGCGAGAAGGGCTAGCAAAGTCTTGCAAATATGTTGATATAACTATTGACTACAACAGTAGCAAATACGCTACCTAGTCTATTGGCAGAAGAAAGAGGAAATTTGAAAGACAAGTAAGAGTTGATTTATGCCAGAAGTGCCATTGAAAAAACTCAACTCCCTTCCGTATCTTTCAACGGCCTGGCCCACAGCCATGAGAAAATTAGTCTACAAAATGAAAAAGCAGAACAGAGTGAGTCTTCCAGATGTACAGCCAGAAATGAAAACGCAACTTAAAAAGAAAACAGTACATGAAATTGAGAGCTGTCTCCGCAGTTGGTTCAGTCAGTGATCTGATAATAGTGCCAATGCACTACTCAAAGATACAAATCTTCACTCATGCACACCACTTAGGTTTTTGTACATGTTCAGGCAAGTTCACATTCTACAAAAAAAAAAAAATCCATCCGTGTTCTAACCTGTGCTAGCCCGGCCAAACTTGACAAATTGAAGCCTCAGCTATTATGCGTCCTCACTGTACGCTGACTTTTTACTCAAACCCTCCTGTAAGTACGATTAATTTTTTTAAATGAATAAACAGCTATTTTGATACAGCACACACATTCCCAAGAGTTGATAAAAGTTTTGTGAATGCAGTTATGATCTTACCTCTTTGCTAATGATAATTTGTAAGTCTTACTCTTTGCCAGTTTAGATAAAAGTTTTCTCCTTCTAAAATGTTACATAAAAAAGCAACATCACTTTCTTTTTAAATTAAAACCATTTCCCAAAGGGAAAATACAAGGCTTTGCTCATTTTAATTCCAGTTACATATAATTTATTTTAAAGCATTTAAGCCATCTAGAAATTAGACAACTAAATTGGGTACCCAAGAGTCTTTTTCAACCATTGTTGAAATCGTTTTACATTATTATAAAAGCTAAAATATAAAGCTAAAATTCCATTGGGATCCGCAAATAAAATGACAGTACTACTTTGAAAGGAACAAAACTATTCTTCAGTAGAAACACTTAATACAAAACACTATCTGAAATATAAATTAAAAACATACAATGAGAAAACAAACATTCTAGCAATAGAAATGATGACTCTAGAAACAATTTTCACTATTTTAAATGCTCTTCTCTTCTGTATATTTTTGTTCTGTTTGTAATTTATTGACCCATAAAAGATTGGCTTGGAATGAAGCACAGCATGTCTTGCCTAAAGACAGAGTAAGTAAGTGTGAATGTTTGGCTTAGGAGGATTTGAACCAGCACAGCAATTGACCAGGCCTACCACTGCCCACCTACCCTGGTCATAAATTTCACCTCATGAAAGATTTTCTTCAAGGATGTTGAAAAAAATATTGCATAAAATAATTATAGCTGGAGGGCTCGCAATAGCTATATTTAAAGCTGCCAAAGTTTTTCCATTGTAGCCCCCCATTTTCTGATGCTCATAACTTGCTGAAATATCAGGCTGGCATTTTGCAGGCCTGGTCTCTGCCTGAGGGTTTTATTTTTCTTCTATATATCCTTTTTTTTAAATACAGCTGTAGCTAGCTCTTCAGCTATAATTCAAATTTTACATATATGTTATACACACAATTATATAATTTTATATATAAATATATCATTTGATTCTATAAATATAAATACCCCATTGCCACACCCTTGAAAAACTGGAATACAAATTGTTTCGGCACTGTTGAGATGAATTAAATGGGGAAAAAATACTCCCCCCTTCCTCCTCCTCCCCCCCAAAAAAAGTTTTGCTAATTTTTGAATCGTCCTGATACTGAATTGACTGTGCCAAAAAAAAGCAGGCTGAGCTCTTGGAAGGGTCCTAAAGGGGCAGTCCCAGTTCCCACTGACTTCCCAAGCTTTAAATTTGGCAGACAGTCTTCACTTTGGAGAAATTATTTTGACTATACTGGGGAAGACTAGTTACTTGGCTGTGTTAGAGTCCATTTAAAAATCACAATTTGAAAGTGCAAAGAATTTTTTTAAACAATGACAGTTCAATGTTTTAAAAATACATGGACAGAGAACTAAGTTGGCTACAGTGTAAAAAATACACACAGTGATCGAGGCAGGGCTCCTCAGGAGATATGCCTCAATGATTCAATTGCACTCTGATAGCAAGTGGTTTTATAAATATCTTGTAAGATCCACAGGACAGCAACTTTTAATTATGTATTTACAATTATTTCCAAACTATAGAATTTATCCTTTTTCTTAGAAAAACAAAATTAGAAAACACACACACACACAGAGGAAATTCCATATAAAATACTATATTAAGAGTATTTACAGTTGCATAGTTAACATTACTCCTTGTGCCGGTGCGTTATATGAGTCACATATTCATAAATTCATAGATTTTAAGACCAGAAGGGTCCATTGATAGTCTGGTATGGCCTTATGCACAACACAGACCATATGACTTCCTCGAAGTAATTACGGCTTCGAGCCCAATAGCTGTGGTTGAACTAGACCATATTTTTTACAAAAACATCCAATCTTGACTTAATTTCAGTGACAGAGAACCCACCACAACCTTAGTAAGTTGTTCCACTAGTTAAATACCCTTACTTTTAATAAGTTATCCTTTATTTCTAATCTGAATTGTTCATCTTCAACTTCCAGCCATTGGATCTTGTTATAACTGTCTGCTAGACTGAAGAGCCCATTATCAAATATTTGTTCCCCATGTAAGTACTTATAGACTGTATTCATGTCACCCATTAACCTTTCCTTTGTTAAATTGAGCTCTTTAAGTGTATAAGGCATGTTTTCTAGTCCTTTAATCAGTACTGTAGCTCTTTGAATCCTCTCCAATTTATCAATATCCTTCTTGAATTGTGGGCACCAGAACTGGTCACACTAGTGCCAAATATAGGGGTAACATAACTTTCCTACTCCTACTTGATATTCTCCAGTTTATACATCCAAAGATGGCATTAATCCTTTGGTCACAGCACCACATTGTGAGCTTAGGTTCAGCTGATTATCCGCTATGACTATCCCCCGCTTCCGAGCTTTTTCAGAATCACTGGTTAGAGCCCCTGTGATTGTGTAGTCTTCAGAATCCATGACAAATGACAGGGCAGACTTGACTAGAATGCAGAAATCTAGTCCCCTCTTCCCCCCTGGGATTTCTTGCAACAGTCTTGTTAAGCCCATGGGCCAGCACAGACAGCCCAACAGTCTTTATGTGGCAAAGCAAAGAAATAGTCCCAAAACCAAACTCAATAGTCCTGTGTTGGCCTGCTTGCCTCCCTCACTCCCTCTGGAAGGCTCCTGCAGTCTCTGCAGTGGTTCTGGGCTGGCCCTTTCCTCAGGGAGCAAAGGGTAGGAGGTCTGTTCTTCTCCCTCATCAGCTCATTACTGAGCTCTCCTCTTCCTTTTTTACCTGCCCCTTCATTATCTGACAGCGAGTG